ATAAAGCTAAAGAGGATCTTGTGGCGAATGTACGTCAGAAATGAATTTCTTTGAGTATTCTCATCTGTTAGCACTGAATATTCCAGTTACCCTGTTACAACGCTAGACTCTGCAGTTTGTTTCGTACGTATTACATATTTACAACATTGGGGACATTCCGACCAAACGCTTCAGAAGCACTTAAACTTATTTTACGAATAACGAATAAAACCAATAGATCTATAATACAATCACTTACACATTCCACTTCTTTCTCCAAATAATGTCTACAAAACTATACAGGTACTTACTTAACTTCATTATCAAATGAATGGTAAAGTCTTAAAGGTTTCTTAAACTATCTATCTGTTTAAAGTTTCAAGTGCAAATTAAGCAGAATAAATTATTTATAAAACTTGTAATTAATATTACAGAAATAATTATCAAATTCATTGTTCATTTAAAAATCTTAGTACATTGATTTTGTAGACAGATTCTAAAGTAAACTTTTTAAATTCACATAGTTGACTTAATTTAACCATTTTTTTTAGTACTTCAAACTCATTGTCTGATAAAATTGCAATAATGACAGCTTTAAATTCACATAGTTGACTTAATTTAACCATTTTTTTTAGTACTTCAAATTCATTGTCTGATAAAATTGCAATAATGACACCACCAAAGGAAATAAATCAACCAGTTTTATTTATGTAACTAAACTCGTCAAATATTTAAATACCCCCGCCGCAGCAAGCCAAGCGAATCTCAATTTGCCTGATGGGATTTATACTAAAATATCTCCTTTAAATGTCATATTTATTCCCTACTAGCAGAGTACCCGTCCTTCGTACGGGGTTGGCATACATTGCAGTTATACTCAAGCTTTGCGTTTGCAATGGGGGAGGACAAAGTTTGATAAAATTTGCTTCTTTAAATTGACGGTATACTATGGTATTACACATCTATCATAGCCATAATGTTCTACCTCTTCACCTAAACAATAAAGAAAAATCAAGTATTACAAATTTTAAAAATCACAAATTATTCATGACATTAAAAACATAAACATAACTGTAAACAATCCTACTTTGACAGTTTTCATTGCGTATCACAGTTGTTTGTTGCTGCTTAGTTCAAATTAGCTGTTTACATAAATGCAAAAAAAATATAGTGCTGCACCCTGTTGGTAAATCTTATAACTTTTTAATGCTTTTGCATATCATAGAACCAACTTTTTTAGTTGAAACAGCTGACTAAATTATTTAATTCCCTTTAAATATGAATACTCATAAGGTTAACATGGGGAACTACAGAGCCACTAGGGCGGAGCCCGAAGGGATTTTTGAGATAAGAATATGCCTATATGTTAATCGGGTATGTGAGCTATCATCATGCCAAATTTCAGCCCAATCCATCCAGTGGTTTATGCATGATTGACCTTTAAACACACAAACAAACACACAAACTTTCACATCTATATATATAAAATCCAATGTATGTTTGTTTGTCCTTTATGGACTCCGAAACCGCTCGACAGATTGTAATGAAACTTTCAGACATTATTAAGCATTATTCAAGGATGGTTTGTGTGAAGATTGGTGCAGATCCGTCAAAAGGGCTCCGCCCCAGTGACTCTGGAGTTTCCCATGTTAACCTAATGAGTACTCATATTTAAATTGAATTAAAGAATCTCAACAGCTGGTTCAACTAAACAATTTGATTCTGTGATGTTCATTAGCATTAAAAAGTTAATAGGTTTACCAACAGGGCACAGCACTACTGTATTATTTTTTAAATTTATGACAGCAGCTAATTTGCAACCAAAAGGTGAGTGAGCATAGCGAACGAACTTCAACGTGGAGGCGAGTTAGCGTTGCGAACGAGCTAAACTGCTGGCAAGTGAGCGCAGCGAACAAGCTCCAACCTAAAGGTGAATGAGCGTAGCGAACGAACTTCAACCAGGACGTGTTTGAGTTATGCGAACAAGCTCATCTTGAAAAAGAACGAGCATTTGACATAAAACCACATTAGGACAGGATAACGTCTGTCGGGCCAGCTAGTTTATAATATTAGTAAGATAAGATTTATTTTAAATAACATTAGTTTAACAGGTACATAGGTTTACTGCTACAGGGAAGGCAATAAAGTGTGTTTTGTTTTAGTTAATTTCTATAAATGGAAGTAGCTATTACCGTAGGTCTCATGGTAAGACCTGTGCCCAGGATCGATTTACTTTTTCATTTTGATGTCCCCAGAGGCCAAAACCATTATTCGTTAAAATTTTTAAATATATATGTGTGTCTGTGAATGATAACTTGAGTAATTTTTATCAGTTTTTTATGAAATTTGGCTTACAGGTGTAGGGCGGGATAAACTTGAATAGGTAAGTTCGTGAACCAGCAGGATTGGACTATGGGAACGCGGTTTTACAAATGTTACTCCTGGTTACCCGCGGTTTTATGGGGTGAAAATAGATTTTTCTCATTTTTACCTAAAAACAAAAAAATTCCCAATTTATCTTAGCACCATTTTTAGAGCTTAAGTAAATTAAAAATTATCATGCTATTCTTATGGAGAATAAGCAAACTGTTGTAGTTTGTTTGTTTACAGATATATTTTGATAAAACTCGGCCAATTAACTGATTTTATACTAAGCTATTGATATTCTAAAAACCCACATTATTACCCTCCCTGTAGCAGCAAACCTAGGTACTTTTTAAACATAATGTTATTTAAATAGATTTAACTGAAAATCCAATCGGGCAAAGGAAAATTCAGGTAAACTTACCTACTGTCTAAACCCTGGTATTGTTACTATTTTATTTTGTTATATAGCACATTAATTGATAACCTAATACAAAATGGCTTATGTGTAAAATATTTAAAGTTTCAATTTTTTGTACTCTGATATTAATGATCACAATTTTATTACTCTATGCTGGGTGATATCATTGCCCTCAGTGGTGGTATTAGTTTTGATATTACAAAAGAAAACAGCAAGAAAATACAAACAAAAGTAAAATTTGATTGTGAGAAACGTTATATACATCAGTTCATTGAAGCAGACAAAGATTTTAAGTTCAAAATACCAAGCAATTTTGATATCAATACTTTAACGATAAAAAAAATACAAAATGTAATAGAAATCTTTCAGTAAGACATTACATGGCCAATCGTTTTAACTGCTCTATTTTAATGGGATAAATTTCAACCATAAATGTTATTCAATACTTTAAGTAAAACCATTGACAGCAATACACAATTTTATAAAAGCTGGGAATGTTTCGATGCCCAGATTGAATAACACTGTTCACTTTTAAAAGTTCACAAATAAAAAAAACATTTATATAATCTAAACTAACACCAATTCTACTCTCAAGGTTTTCAATACTTATTTGAATCAGTAAATAAAACTATTATCACTATGGGACAGCAATCCTCAAATCTTCAACCTTGATGTAAAATTTGAGAACTACCGACATAGTCAGTTTGGGAAAAAGGAAAGACAACATGATTCACGTCGTTACTTGAACATCTAGTTACAATCTACAAGTTACACAATTTGGATGGAAATTACAAATTCTTATTGATGAAAGTAAAATAAACAATATCGTTACTCGACCCCGTACATAGAAAACAGCACATCGACAAGGCTCATCGTGGTTCTTTTGACGATAAGACACTACAAATGGAGGCGTAATGTTGTACAACTCAAGTTTTCTAATTGGCACATTGTAAACAAGGGAAAAATTGAGCATTTCCACCGCATTAGCTTGTTTTTATGTACAAAAATAGGGGAAAAAATTGGATCCAATGACAGCCTCAACACCTGATTGATTAACAAATGTTCACTAACAAAATACCAATTCTGAAAATATTACGCAAAACTCTAACAGATTGATAGATTGGAATCAATCAATTCACAATTCATCCAGGCTTTTGAAAGTGAACATTTATAATTTGACAAAGAAAATTTTTGTCCGGCAAATTCGCTTTAAGAATCTAGAAGTACATAAATATTGATCTTAGACTAAATCTGCACATAAATGTTATCGATAGAAAACACTAAGAGTTGCACTATAATGATTAAATTTCTGGGTCTTAACCTTAACACGATTATACGTAAGTAAAAGTGCACTGTCATCCACATAGAGGTTCACGATAGCGGCAAAGTCCATCTAGAAGGTGGATTCTACATTGTAATTCAGGTACACTTACACATGGTAGGCCTACTCTTTCTATATTCTACTATATATCAAAGAATCTCAAAACATCCAAATTACATAAAAATACATTTACGCTTTCAACAAAGCGACCTTAAGTGACTTCAACTCAACTGATATCGGTTTCTAAACATAAACAAAAATTCAAAAACATCGGATTAAATATAACTAACGACAAATCTAACCGAAACTATTTCCCAACGTAACACATGCTGTAATGGTTTATGGGAAATAAATACACTTATTGCTTTGAGTAGCTAAAAATAAATTACTTTAAGAAGGCACAACTGATAATTACACTTGAAATATTCAAATTTATATAGATTTGATTTTAATAGAATTCTCTAATTTTTCACAAAACTACAACAGATGACATTAGAAATGATCAACGCAGAATTAACGTCACTATTGTACAATGTCTATTTTTTCATTTGGTCAACTTGCACATAATTTAATCAATTTAAATTCAAAACAAGTTTATCAGTTGAAAAAAAATGAAAGTGAGGGTTCAAAACATATAAATAATCGGACTTAATAAATAATAAATACTAAAAACTTAATAGTATTTACGTTTATACTGACACAAAACAAATAAAACAACAAACAAGTTATAGTTTGTTTTAAGCTTCAGCAAGAGAAGAAGAAGAAATTTACATACATAAAATGTACTTAAGAATAAAATCTTCATCAAAGTCGATTCCATTTGAGACAAATTACAACCATAAGAAATATTTAAGCTTGATTAAAAAAAAAAGAAGTAAAACATTCCTGTCTATGTTATTTTTAAAATGAAAACATAATTCATATCATAAATTAGTACATTAAAACTACTAAATTTACGGTATAAATGTTATTTTACAAAAACTGAATTCTTAAAAATGTTAAATTTTGAACAATTGTGCAGGTTTTGTATATAATGAGATATTTTTTTATAAATTGAACAAACAGAGAACATTTTGTTATATAGTCAGTTGGTGCGATATGATAATTTAAAACCACAATCAATCATACATAGACAATATTACATTTTTTTGCTTAACATTCTTTAGAAACTGATAGAAACTGAAAGTGTTACAATAGTGACAGGAGGAGCGACCCGATAGACGCACAAAATGGCAGCGGATTGTTTAAGATGCACTTTATAACTTATAAAATATATAGAACAAACAAACACATAGGACTAAAGTAATAAAATGTTATACACTGAAAAACTATAGAAATACAATAAACATATAACATCGATATATAAAATGATTAAAGCATAAAATTTACATACTCGTATAACAGTAAAACATATAGATTACCCATTCGCAATTGTTATTAAGTATTTACAAAAGACGATATCGTTAATTATTTTACACGTTCCTGCAAAGGAAAATAATGTTGCGTTTATATAAAAGAAAATTCTATGACTCCAAACAAAAACTTATTAACAAAATATACACAAAAACTAAGTACATAGGGAATCTAACGGGTAGGTTCGTTTTTAAAATTCTTGGTACAATTACAGTTTATATACAAACTTTAGATGTTTGGGAGGGCAACGGACGTCGAAAGATGATCGTTAACTGCTGGATGAAACGGGTATCACAGAGTGGGACATAGAAGAAACTCCTGTAATAGAAAAAAACGTTGTTGGAAAAATAAAACTGACTAAACTTTGACACTTTTCACACACCCTATGAAAGGTCAATGAGTTGAGACTAGGGTTCTGATTTCAACACACTGTTCTGTTTGGATTTATGTTCTATTGGTTTAGTAGAAGATTAGTATCAAGTCTACCTAAGAGATATAAGCTCTTAATCTCAATTTTTCCAATCATGTCTTATGCGTCCAGCTATTCCAAACATTATCAAGTGTTAAAAGTTGAGTAAGCTTTCTTCTTTAATTTTCCTCAAGTTTACATTTGAAAGAAGGTAATAGCTCCAGCTTAGAAAAAAATGTTTAAAGTTTTTTAATTTAATAAAACTAAAAGCTATGTGAGTACTTCCCAACAATTCCCTTCCAAAAGTCGGGAACATACAAATAAAATCAGGCCAGTTGTAAAAGAATTTATGTTAATAAATGCAGTAACTAATCATTTTTTGCGGTGGATTCAAATTTAGTCAATTAAACCTACAAAAGTAAAATAATTATATTGATCACAAATCTACCTTTTGGTGTCTTAACTCAAACCCTCAAGTCAGTGAAATTGTAATTACAGTCAAGTATTTACCATTTACTTAATGTTTTACAAGTGTAGATACACCAAACAGTGTTGAAAGTCACTTTTTGTTCAATTTAATAATAGCACCAACATGTAGAATTCTATTAAAAAAGTTGTTTAATGTTTATTGACATGGCCCATTGGATGGGAGCGAGCTGGTCTAGTGGTTAGAGCATGGGACTTCGGTCCTGGTTTCAAATCCCGCCAAATCACCAATGGATTTTATCTAATTGATTATACAGTAGAACCTCTTTAATCCGAACCCCTGTAATCCGAACGTCCACTAATCCAAACGCCTCATTGCTTTACTCTATACACAGTAGGCCTACAGTAGTTCTTTAATGTATTCTGTATTTGTGGTATACGCACCATAATTATTTCAATTGTAATGGACAGTAGGCCTACTGTTTATTCCCTATGTTTACTACTGTATTTAATAAACATTGTATTTTAATTTATTAGGTATTATTCACTTTTCCCTAGCTATTATTATGTAAAAACAATAATATGTTCTGTAATCTGAACTATTCAATAGTCCGAACTACCCCCGGTCCCAATTAGTTCGGGTTAAAGAGGTTCTACTGTACTGAAAACCTCTAGGTCAAGCCTGATGTAAAAACAATCCCAGGCTCGTGCTGTGTAAAAAAATGGTCCATTAGATATTCAATAAGACCTAGATTTTCGATCAACAAAGTTATCAACCTACCAGGAGTGGAGGGCTCTACAGGGCTGGTAAGGGCGTTGGCGCTGATGGGGGTTGGCAGCCCTGACTGGTTGGCCATCAACTTCTGTCGCACTTCCCTGATCTTCAGCTGTAGTGATGTCTTGTTAGGGAAGATGTCTACGTGACATGCCTGTGACAACATTGTGTTAGCTTATACAGAGAGGGAGAATAAATTACACTTACACTTCAGAGATACGCATTTATACCTCTAAGATGTTTTTATCCAAACATGTTTAAATTACAGAATATTAATTGACCTAAACTGGCCACAGCAAGGTCAGAAGCAAAAAGATCGGTTAACATAAAAAAATGAAACTATTGTAAACATTTGAATACATGGTACGAATAAAATATTTTCATGTGAAACATATTTAAAACTTTAAGTTTGTCTTTCACTAAAACTTAAAAATATCATCTCTCAATTTTCAATCCAAACCCAAAAACACATACAAATTAAATAATCATTGAACTCAGTGATGATAATTTATGCCAGCATTCACGATTATAACATTTATTACAGCTAAATTTATAGGAAAATAAATAGCTGATACCCGCGGGCTTCGTTGGACTTCATACTTCATAAGTATTAACAAAACTATTGATTACCATACCGGGTTGGGTGGCATTTCGAGTGGCTTTTCATGGTTACTTCGAAGAACAACATTAGACTTAATAAGCTGTTGGGGCAGAATCTTAGGAGAGTATTAAAACAAAAGATGACTATCTCCGCCTGTGGTTATATTGGCTCTATTCATGGAAAAAAATCAGCTCAATTGGTCAAGTAGTTTTCACATTATTGACATATTCGAAACATTCATATCTATAATTTTAGTTCCTCTATCTATGTCATTGACTTGATCAGTAACGCACTAAAATTATTAGCTTGCTACTACATTTCCCAGCCATTATTTTTGAAGAAAAAAAAACACAAAATTTTTATAACATTTTGGAAAAAAATAAAGTCAATAAGTTGATGAATTATGCACTTAAAAATAAAATTACCCTATTTGCACAAAAACACAACAATTTAGTATTCTCCTTGAACTTAGTAATGTGTATAATTTATGTCAGCATTCACGATTGTAAAATTTTTAACAGCTAACTTTTTAGGAAATAAATTTGACATAGTACAGTTTTTAGATTTAAAAAAATAATAACAGTAACTGGTACAAATTACGAGCCAACATCTTTAGAAAACGTGTCCATTGTGTTCGCCAAAGTGATGATAGTCACCTTTTACCGATAGAGAATGTTATATTCTGTAAGCAACTTCCAAACAAACAGCAGTCCTAGTGTTGGCAATTGGTGGCTCACTGATCGTCACTATTATTTCCACCTGCCTTATATTTCAATTTTTAACTAGGCCTACTTATTTATTTTTTAAGCTTTCTTGTTCATGTTAAGTCACTCACTGTTCTCAGTGAGGTTTTTTTGTATTTTTCCTAGTGTTGGCAATTGGTGGCTCACTGATCGTCACTATTATTTCCACCTGCCTTATATTTCAATTTTTAACTAGGCCTACTTATTTATTTTTTAAGCTTTCTTGTTCATGTTAAGTCACTCACTGTTCTCAGTGAGGTTTTTTTGTATTTTTCCAGTTTTGGCTGAGTTAGCACACTAATGTTATACACTTTAACTAATTTCTCACATTAAGAAAAGAACAGATTCCAAATCCCAAAACGTTGCAAAATCTTCATTTTGCACTTGTCAAAATGGAAAATGTTTGCAGTAATCACTAAATAACATCACCTTATTGTTGGACTTTCACTCATGATCTGGATATAAGCAAGCATGCGACTATCATTTTTGATTAATCAAACACTAGTTTCCTATTCTGTCTGAATTTTAATTTGATATTTATGATTTTTAGAGTTAATTCCACATTTAATATGCTCTCCTCTATACTTATCACCTAAAACAAACTTCAAAGTATACCTGGAAGTTGGTGGTGGCTTGAGTGGAGGGGAACAACCCCTGTTCCTGGAACAGCTGCATCACCAGCTGTCTTCGCTGTTCCAGGATCCGGCGATGCCCCTTGTCTGGGTCCCGACTACCTGGAGTCTTAGGAGTCCGCGGTGAAGACGCTTCCAAGCTCTCCAAGTCAACGGTTGATCCTATATTTGATCCTACAACAAGGGAAAATATTAATTTCCAAACTTTGATCTTTATAATGTTCAGGATTTTTGTATGGAAGGCAGGCTTATCTGAACAAAAAAGAGTCAATTCTTAAAAATACACAGTTTTACACACAGAGGTTTTCTGTACATATATCACAGGTTCAATCTATGAAAAGCTGTATATTCCCAATTCCGTAAGACAATTTACGGTTAATGACCCTCAAAGCACAGCTACTATACCTTGAAATCCAGTAGTAAGAAATCAATCTATATAATTAATACGCTACATGAAACTTTGTCGGTTGAACTCCTCCGCCATTTCTTAACCGATTTTATCCATTGACGTCTCATTGGAAAGAGCGTGTCGCGTAGATTTGCAAACTGGCCTTACATTTTTGAAAAAATCCCTTGGGCTCTGCCCCAGTGGCTTTGAAAGTTCCCATGTCATCCTTATGAAGAACATAATTGTTTACATTTTGATCAGCTGTATAATTTAATTGCTGTTATTTATTTTTAAATTCAATGAAATGCGTTGAGTACATTTATTTACTATTTGAGTTTGTGTAAACATAACCCCCAAGATGGATCGTGTTAGTATGGTTGTATCTTAAATTTGTGTATTTATCGTTGTTTTGTGTCGCTATGACGGATCGTGTTAGCATGATTGAGGCGTAATCGTGATAACGACCGCAGCTACAGAAACAGAACAGTGTGGTGCGTAATAGGCTTGGCTTAACTCATCACAGTCAGCACCTGACCCTGGACAAACTCAACTATTAGGTTACAAATGCGCCCTTTAACACTACCCCAAAACGACTTTTCGCTCTCAATTAGTTCTCTATCATGACCTGTGTTGCCTGTACAGCTAGGCAGACCCAGAATGTATGAAAGAGAAAACCGGCCGGAATGCTTTAGGTTTATCAATAACGAAGATAAACATGGTCTGAGTTACAGTACACACCGGTAATCTTATTGAGTTGAGTCTTTTAAACACATTGTAAATATGACTGTTAGGTATTCGTTTTGAAATAATTCCTGTAATACTTTGCAATTGCTCGAATTCGAGCAACATGTACACTAGTACTCCTTAAAACATGACAATTTTTAATTTGACTTGGTAGAAAAACTTATTAATCTATATCCTGGGGCTTCGATATTACATCATTATTATCCACTTGGATTAGATTAATGTCCAGCAATTTAGTATTGCCTAGTTGTTTCTGTCCTTGATCATTAGACTTTTTGTGGCCTACATTGTCCAGCCTAGCAGTAAGTAAGCTAGCAAAAATTTTTCTAAGTAATAAAGCTGTCACCTCATTTGACATTTCTCTTTTACTCATCTTCTCCTGAAATAAGCTCCTTGGTGTGTAGGTTATAATCCTAATTTAATAGAATTTACTAAAACAAAATAAAATACTATGCAAGTTAAAATATAAAACTTTCAGCTTAAAACTGACTATGTTGCAGACATTGGTAAATAAGTTAACTACGGACAGTATCCAAAATAAATTTACCTTTAAAAGCTTCAATGTTGAAGTCTGGTCCAAAGAACGTTGAACCGATAAGTTTGCCAGACTTCGGAGTTGCGGAATGAGACACTTCGGAGTGAGAGGGAGTCGATTCTTCTTCTGGAAACAAACACATTTGGTAATGAATGTTCGTTTATTGTTATTTCATGACTCACTAGCAAACTCTTGCAAAATTAAAATACAGTAGAGTCTTACCGATCATGCAAGATAATGGAATTAGGGAATGACTTTTTTGTCCCTTTGATCCTTCGTTGCTAGGATCTAGCCAAGAACCATTTTCAAATTACATCACTTCAGGCTAGCAGGTTAGGCCTAGAGGATCATGGTGTCATCCCTTTCTTGTTATCATTGTTGGTTGAAGGGTTTTGAACCTGGAACCTCAGGGACTCCCACACAGGGGTCAGTGATTCGTTCCTAACAGATTAGTCGACCGCAAGATTAATGAACAACCGACAACAACGTCAAAAAAAGCTGAAATAGTTAAAAGTGGAACTGACACATAATTATAAAGGTGTAATGTTGAGGAACAATACTTTAATGTATCACGATTAAAACAAAACATATTACTTGAAATCTCAAAAAGTATAAAATGTTAAACGAAAACGTTTAATAACTTACGATGTGGTTTCTTGCGGATAAACACATGAGGACTGCTAGGCACGGAGATGGCGCTCGGTGATTGGCACTCCTCTGGCTTGAACTCTGGCAGTGATGAAAACTTTTTCTCAAAATTCACTTGCTCCAATACTCTAAAACAAAACAATTGACTAGTGGAAATACGAAAGCTTGAGCTTTTTAAGAGTCCTTGGAGCCTAGACATTTTAACTCATTTAACAATTTAAAAAATACAATGAACATTTCTAATCTCACAGTATACTAATTACTAAATATTTAAATTACAATCACTTTGGTATTTGAAAAAAATAATTTGAAATGGTAAATAACTCTTCAGCGGCTGTTTGAAATTAACAACATTAACAATCACTAGTATATTAGAAATTATAATCGCTTTAGTGTTTGAAACAATATTGTTGGATGATAATTAATTAATTAACTCTTCAGCAGCTGTTTAAAATTATCCAAGATGACCGCTAACCTCCAAAGACTCTTAAGCTTCTTTTTAGGCTTCAAAGAAATCACAGACTTGCACATCTTGAGTTGCAACAAGTTTGACCATATGTTTGAATTGTTATTCGTTCAAAATACTTATTAATAAACCAACCAAACCTTTCAATGAAAACAATTCACAAACCTGTCCATGCCATCTTCTACATTCTTCTTAAAGAAGCTCCTCTTGGTGGATGGTGATTCTGGTACGGTATCTTCTTCCATGTGACTATGACTGGTCGTGTTGTTTACGTTGTTCATGTTGTTGGCGTTGCTTTGAAGGTGCTCCTGTTGTTGATGGTGTTGCTGCTGCTGTTGTTGCTGTTGTTGGATCTGTTGCTGTTGCTGTTGTTGCTGCTGCTGTTGCTGGATCTGTTGCTGCTGCTGTTGGATCTGTTGCTGCTGCTGTTGAATCTGCTGTTGTATCTGCTGATGATGTTGTTGTATCTGTTGGTGCATCTGTTGTTGATGTTGCTGCTGATGGTGGAACTGTTGATGTTGACTGTTGGACGTTTGAGAATTGTCTTGTCCTTGATTTGACCCAGACACTGCTGAAAAAAATCCTTTGATATGAAAAAAATAACGTTAATTGGATTTGTTTTGCTATGATAATGTTCATAGTTGTTATAAAAAAAACTTCTCACTTTTTAAGCTTTGGGATCTTTTCTATTTGGCATCCTATCTTAAAAAAGTGTTTTTTTTTCAGATTTTTTAAAAATTTTGTGATTTTAAGACTGGTTAATATTTAGATTTAGATGTAATAACAGTTTACGCCAAGTTATGAATACAAAGTAGTTATGAATACCCTTCTTATACTGAAAAGAAACATTTACTTCTACTTCTACTGTGCCATTTACAGATGTAATAAAACTAACATTTACAATTTGTACAAATAGTCATAATAAGCCCGTGTACAACATATTTGAAAATTGAAACATTGGCATAAACTGATATAATCACACAGTGGTACATTTTCATACCAGAGCTTTGTTTGTGGTAAAAGCTCATTTAAATTATTTCTAGGTGCTCCAAGAATTATTACTTAGCTGACAACAATTAGGTACACTGCTAGTACACAAAAACATTTGAATTATTGTAGACTCACCCATAGATTGACGGCGTTGCAACGGAGCCTTGCCAAGTTGAGCTGGTGTCGGAGCTAAGACAAACATTTGTCTGTCTTCTTCTCTCTAGAACAGATTTGTACGTATGTCAAATAACTTGGAAGGTTGGCAGCATATTTATTTATTTATACATAAGGCATTTTGAAAACTTGATAGGTAAATTTGATTCTAGGCTTGGTTAAAAATAATTCATCAAATGGGAATCCAAATTTTAAAGTACCTATTATGATTTAAAGGTAAGCTTGCTTTCCTGTCAATTTCCTAAACAATTTCTGGCAAATGTCCTATCCTTAATCAGATACTATATTTTAAAGGTATTTCTAAAAAAATTCAGAAAACTACATTAGTTATATTTAAAAAAAAACAAAATTCAATTTAATATTGCTTACACTATTCACAAGAAAGTTGAAACAATTCACAGTTTAACATTCAAGAACCTACTGTTTTAAATTCATTCCCGAAAACTTGAGTTGTGTTCAATACCAAAGTTTACAAAAAGTATGTAAAAGAAAAATTTACAATTCAAAGAACACTAGTTTTGTGTAAAGGTTTGAACCAGTTGTTTTGTGTTTACAACAAACATTTTGTTTTCCACAAAAAGTTGTAAACATATGTTAACATCACTTTTAAAGCAAACGTTTAATCGGTTTACACAATGCCAGTTGAAGACAGGTGTCTTTGCCAAATGTCATCACGTTACAATTAATTCTCTTTCCGAAGCATATATTTTCATTAATAATTTAACATACCACTTTATAGTTGCTTTGATCTCTGTCTGGAGATTGTTCAGTCACATTTGAATGCTCTGGATTTACTTCTTCTTCTTTGGTTTCTGAAAAAGCGGAACATCAAAACCAGTGATCTACAGAATATCAAATCCGAAAAAGAGTGATCATAACATTATAAACTTGGCATAGAAGTTCCTATTTGAGCTTGCTACTAACTATGAAGCGGATTTGCTAAGTTCCATGAGAGCTTTGACCTATTTAAATAAATTTATTTGAAGGTCTGAAGAAAAGTTGTACTTGGATCAATAGATCAACAAAATCCCATTCAAGCCTGCTACATTCCTTTTGACTTGTCAGTTGAATCATCAGAACAGCTTATTTGAGGGACTGAACTGATGCTCCTACAAAACATCAGATTTTTGGCCGAACTCGCATAGAATGGAGAAACTTTTGCCAACACAAGAGGATAGCAGCTAGCTTACCTTGAAAAAGTGCAGGTAGGCCATAGAACATGCAGAAGAGAAACTGAACACACCTGCACTTTTTTAAGGAAACTTAGCTGCCTCCTTATTCTACAACTCAAAATCCTGGACTAGATCCTTTCCTTGAACAAACTTTTGCAAACACAAAGTCAAATTGGATTGTCAGTTCGGTTTCATCATATCCGATCCACAAACTGAATTGAATGTGTGGCGAGAGGAGGATAGGAGTTTAATAAGCTTTAAACAACACCCTTTGATTGAACTTTATGTGGTAAAATGTAAGAGTAAGACTTTCCGCAATACCATAGAAGCCTCAATACCAAGGGCCATAGTAAAATTCTGGTTTGAACAACTAGTACTTAATACTTGCTAGATTGTTATTTATTAATATATTGACAACAGGGTATAAATTACAAGAGCTAATTTAAAAGTATCATTCAAGTCGATTCAGTTAAGAAAAAGATTGTTGAGCTAGTAATGAATTATAACTCACCCTGGTAATGCTGATTATTGGTTTTGTCACTTTCACCGTTGACCATCGAACTCTCGGAATACTGGACTTTGGGCCGTTCCTCGTCACGCTTCACAATACTAAACAAGAAATAAACTTTACGTCAGTAAAATATAGTCTAGTAAACAAATATGAAACTTAACATATATGTAGCAAGGATAAAACAAAATATCTAAATCATGAGGGTCTTGTAAATTTATAATTTAAAGGAAAGCCAAGTGGCAAGTTAGGAATTGTTTTGATTAAGGGATATACTTCAGCTTAAATATGTCTTATAACTAATTTTAGTCTTATAACTTAATTTTAACTAATTTTTAATTTGTAGACACGCAAATTAAATACCTATCTCAAAACATAATACTGAAGTTTTGTCTTAATATAAGACTTTTCCAGAGAGTAGATTGAAGTGAAAGGTCAATTAAAATAAAAAAATGGTGAATTTCAACAGACCTATATTAGGACGAAATATCAGGATTACATTTTTTGTCTATCTTATTATTCTCGGGACTATTTTTTCAGGCAAACATTACGACACTACAAATTTAAAAAAAATGATTATTACAAAAATGACAATGGCCAGTATGAATAAAAAGTATTAAAACTTCAACAAATCTCTTCACATTATGAATTTGAAATCATACAAGGAACCACGTAAGGGTGTCTAAACTACAAAATTATTTTTGAAAAATTAAATTATGACTTGTTTCATCAACCAGATCCCACTCACTTGTTCGGCTTGCTGACGATCACAGTAGAAGTGTGAGGCTGACTAGTCACCAGGGTTATAGGCTTTGCTTGCTGCACTGAGATCTGACGACCACTGGCATCTGTAAATGTATGGTGAATATAAAACTAATGTGGGAAAAAAAGAGAAAACTTAAAAAAAGACGAGGATGAAATCACACTTAGCATCTATGACATAATGATTGTGCTTAAGCTTTTCGATCTAATAGTGAATTTATGGGGGTATGACAATTCTCTGGCTATTGAGCTTTTTATGCTTAACATTTTTAAGTTTCATTCGATTACTTTTATGTGATTTTTAAGTTTGATCAATTTGAGCCTGGCTGGTTAGGGGTGTTAGAAAGGAAAAAAGTTCAGATTGTTTAACTGGGAAATACACTTGATAACTGATTTACGAGTATATAGCTTAGCACTCTGCTCTAATATCCATTTCCACAGGTTTACAGATATACAAGGTCTCACAAAACACTTTGGATATATATTTTTTTTGTATAGTTACTTAAAGAGCAGATTAATGAGAAATAATACATTGATTCCTCATAAATCTAAAAAAAATTGATTGAAATAGTTGGTTTGAATCTGTATCAGCACAAAAGATCTGTATTATGTCATGTGTGTTTTTCTTTGCTGCATGTATGGTTCGCTGTATTACAACATTCTCAGGTAAGCCAGCTGCACTCGTAGATGATAAAATATCAATCCAACGAGCAAATGGTAGAAACCCCAAAAACAATGTTCATTTAAGTAATTTTACAACAACCAATTCACAAAATCTAAATTTCCCACAATACCCTCACACACCCAACCCTTCTCACTCACCCGATATCGGTATCTGGAAGCCAGTCTGAGCGGGAACGTAGACATTCTGAATTCGTCCGTTGTGCAGCACGTATTGCACAGTCTCTCCCTGCGTAGTGTTGTTGGCCGAGTCCACTCTGCTGATGGGTTTGAACAGCAGCGTGTTGAGCAACCCAGACTCCACCGGGTTGAGAATCGTGACAGTCATCGGCTGCTGATAGTTCTGCTGAGGCCGTGCTGTCGTCGTCTGCAGCACAGGCAGTGTCTTGATGTTGGCCTGGCTGATGTTGGGGAGGAAGGTAGACACCTTGGGCTGCAGAATGGTTGTGTTTTGAGTCGACTTGACACTTACATTCTGTGGTGTTAGTAATGTACCCACATTCAACACGGACACCTGAAACAGACAGGGTTGGTAAAAATCAAGTTTTTTTTTAGGCAGGATTAAATATTAACTGCAATTTAAAATCATTTTGAACTGCATGGATTATTTGGATTGATGTTATGAATTGGAATAAATTTTCTACTTGGAGAAGAAACATTTCTTCAAGACCAGATTTCCAAAACCCTTTAAGCTCCATTAGATAATTTCTGCAATAACAAAGTAACAAAACAGTTTAGATCTGAGTGGATTTCAAACCTTTTCCAAGAAAAAAATTCAATTGATTTTGCAGTGAGAGAATAGTAAGACATTGTTTTTTCCAACATAAATAATTCAGGATGAGCAAAATAATCTTTTACCCATCTCAGGTCTAATGTTTTCAATAATACTATGAATGGCAGAACCTGACGCAATACCTGAGCCTGAGTCTGTGGTGCAGTGCTGGTAATCCTAGTGTAGGTCTGGCTGGCACTCCTAGCCACCGCCTGGCTACTAGCCAACGAGGTAGCCATTGTAGACTTGGCTGGTGCCGGCTGGCTGCTGGCTACAGTGTGCATCACCCCTGGGGAAGATGGTATCTTGCAGTGAACTGCAGACAAATTATTGACATTACATCTAACTGACATTGTCAACCCTTGATCAGTATAGTTTTGTTTAAGGAAAGGCTCTAGGCCAGGATTTTAAATTGTAGAAAAAGGAGGATAACAGCTAGCTTACCATAAACTCTTTCTCTACACTTGACAAAGTCCCTTAGGGGACGAAATATTGTATGCACAGTGTTTTTCTACTTGTTCTATGGCCTACCCACACTTTCAAGGTAAGCTAGCTGCTATCCTCCTTTTTCTACAATTTTGATCAGTATAGTTAACATTTGAATTTCAATATCTTCAAGAACATAAAATGTAACAGGAAATATAATATTTTTACAGATTAACTTATCAGGTTGGTAGGTGTAATCTCTTTATGTACCGAGTGGATACACTAAGACGCGACCCACGATCTAGCTGCCAAGGATTCATAGTTCATCGTGGTACTAACTGAGCAAACAAATAACCGTTTTCAAACGACCAATTCCAAACCCCCTTACTGAATGTGTTAAACACTCTTACCCGTGGTGGTTTTGAGCCAGTCGTCCCCTTGAGAGCTTGTCGCACTCCAGTTAACAGTGGAAGTGGCAGCAGACGACGATACCGGGTACGAATCGCTCTTAACAACCTATGGATAAACATCAGTATTATCTAATATCTTAGACCAAACCACAATCATAAAACCTAAAAGATTGGGCATACAAATGGTGAATCTGATCACAACAAATTTTAAAAGGTTTATAACTTCAGTCTATTTAATTAAAACTGTGGATCACTAAGTTGTTCAGTACAACAACACTGAAAGGGGAGTGTTGCTAGTTTATTATTAAGTGTATCAGACTTCAATACAGAGAGTTACTGGCTCAATCATTTGAATATTTATGAACATTTCAGGGGTGTGAACTTCTTTAAAAGCCTTTGTGATCATGTTTTTTAAAAGTGTACCTACATACGTAGACATAAAAAAAAACATTGACAATGGCATTACAATTTTAACTTTAATTTTAAATATAAAAAAAGCAGAAAGGAAAAAAATAATTTTTAATTAATATACTCTGTATGATGGAACCTATCTCCTGACCCTCCGTCCTGGGGATTTGGGTGTACCAGGAGACAGGTTCCATCAAGCACCTGTAACACTTCATTATCATTCACCGAATTAAAACTAAAACATGTACATTTTGAGTCACACTCTCTCATTAACTCTTGTCCTCAAACATAACGTACCTTTGGAGAGACAGGCATCGTCTTGAAGGCGCCGCCGGTTGGTTGGAAGGCACACACTCCAGTAGGGTTGAGAGGAGAGTGGTAAGGATAGGAGGACAACACGGCTACAGAAGATTCACCACCACTAGACGTTGCCTGGAACTTGCTGCCACTCTCCAGACTGCCGGACGGCAACCTACATCAGGCAATTACTGAATTTATATAATCCTTCCGACTATTTCTGACCATGCAGGGTCTTTACTTAAATTTGACGATGAAATTCACAGGATTATTTACAGTTTTTCTCCATCATATTTGTTTATTTATTGTAATACTGACAAGAATAAGGAAACTAAGAACAGCTATTGGCAAAAATGGGATGGCATCACAGTCTATTTATAGATCAATACACATAGACAGATTACAGGACTTTGTTTAAATAAACAATTTTTCATCTTTCGTATCATTTTCATAGACGAGTGGTAACATTGACACTGCAGAGATGTTTCCATTTTTAAACACACCCTCCTGCCTTGATTGGATGTGATTCCAATTCCAGATCAAGATACACCATATATAAAAACACAGTGGTTTAATATTTACTATGAATAATTATGAAATAATTCACAGCACTTGAAAAGTAATTTGTATGCTATTGTAAATTCATAAATAAAGCATAAATTAAAAATATAATGTTGAAGAAAACCTGAAAATGTTACTCGTTTTTCTGGCAGAAGTGACGGAAATCTCGGGATGTTAAAGCAATAGCTGTCTGCAAAGTTTGTACGACAAAAATTTACATTGAATTTACAATGTTGTGACTGTAGGGAATCACCACGATGTTGCCAGGAACGTATTTACCAGGAATTACTATTCATACCTTACAACTATAGGTTATCTTGTTACCTTGCTTTGATTGGTTTAGGCCTGAAGGTGACCTCCGCTTTGACCCCTGACACAGGGCTGAACCGTTGCTGAGGGAACAAAGGTTCCGTCTCACTTTGTGACTCTGAATCAGAGTCTGTCACCTTCTCCTTACACTTGAGATCTATTTCTGGTTCTTCACATATAACCTGTAAAAAGATTTGTGTTGAAAACCACTATTTGGATGACTCTCAATTGCATGGCTTGATCATTATTAATTTGAATATTGTGATAATGCCTCAATAGTAAACATGTTGTGAGTGTCCACACAAATAGATAGTAGGTAATCATCCTATTTAATCGCACATGTGGGCTAGAATTAAGAAACACCGAACCTCAAAGCATTTGATTCGAGAAGCTACTAAGCTGCTATTTTGAGGGAAAAAACCTTTTAACAAACATGACCTACAGATATTTAAAAAATTGTACCTACACAAAGACATCACCGGACTTCAATCTTCCAATTCACAAGCCAACTTCCACAGAAAGAAAACCGTTCTAGAAAGGAACTGCATATTTTAACCTCCATCCAGAAAACCTAAAGCAATAAACCTACCCAATCCACTATAAGAACAAACTAGCAGACTCCCCCCCCCCCTCTGTATAGAGACAACCCTTTACGGAGACTGTTACACATTGAGATAGGATTGACCTAAACATGACTTCTACACTCTTTGTTTTCATTTAATTGTCTATAGTGACATTTTCTTACACAGTTAGTAAAATTCTTTTTTACTCCTAATGATCTGGTGCCTGATCCTGTCCTCAGATGAGAAAGTACCCTAATAAAAAACAAATTTTAGTAATTGTGATGGAAAATATTCACATTTATCCCTTTAACTGAGGAGCGAGCTAGTCTGGAAATAGAGCGCAAGGCTTCGGTCTTAAGGTCCTGGGTACAAATCCCACCAATCACGATTTTAACTAAATGAGCAGTTAAAAATCATCTAAGACAAGTCTGAAGTCATGGATAATGGTACCTCGGTGTTCTCTTGAGATATCTCCACCTCCTGCACAGCTGGAGGGGTAGGTGGTGGGCCTGGGGATGAGACGGATACACCAGCTCCCTCCACCCCCTCGTCCACGGACCCTAGCTTGCCTCGGCCGGAGCCTGTGGACGACTTGCGGCGATCCTTGCTGCACCACTTCCACTCCGGATGTGCTTTGAAATGGGCTTCCTTCACCTGTGGACAGAGGATAAGAATGTATATACATGGACTGATAAGGCTTTAAAAAGATTTGTTTGCACCCAAACAAAAAAATTTGCACAAAAAAAATTAAAAGGACTTGACGGCAGCAATGAGCAAAATGTTACTTGAAATAACCATGTTTTAACTTTGAACACAATGTTTATTGGTTTCAGTTGTTCTTTTCCATTCCCATCTCAAGACTGGTTAAGTTAATCAACCATCTGATTTATTTTTTACTCCTAAAATGAACGTAGACATAGTAGCTTCACTGTGCTTAGTATTGTAAATTAATTAGCTCATCTAATAAATCAAACAAAAATACATATTGAGAATTTGAGTTGCGAACCTCAGAAGCGAGTTCATGGTACTTCTGCTTCTCCTCTGGGCCTAGAGCATACCACCACTCCCCGAGTATCTTGGACACCGTGCGGTTATCTTGATTTGGGTGGCGCTGGTGGACCAAGGCTCGGTGCCGCTTACTGAAGATCATGAAGGCATTCATCGGCCGTCGTATACGATCTCGCTCCTTCACCTGCAAAATAAATCCTCATTCTTTTCATGTTTGTAAAAACAACAACACAATTGTTGATAAATAACATGAATAGAATAGTAGATAAAATAATTTGTTAGACGATGTGGAGTATGCAAATCTTTTGGTGCAGCAAATTTACGAAAAAGAGTAAGCAACTTGAAATAGAATTAATTAGGCCAGATCATTAACACAGGGAATCTGTCTAGATTCACGATGGAAACAAGGCCAGTTGAAACCTGATAGGAAGCCATATCACATCATGGAATATAAAATGGAGGAACTGAAACGTAGAGACAAACCCTATCTGACCATGAAGTAATACCAAGATTACATGGTTAAAGAAAGGGCAAGAAGAAGGAGTTGTTTTAGTGGGTAGCCAAGAGCGAGGTGGGAAGGCATCTCCATATACCCCTTAGTATGCAGACCCCTTAACAAATGAACATTTTTTCAAGATTTTCCTGTCTCTTTGAAAAAAGAAATGATTTATATTAGATATAAATATCATTTGCTAAAAGATTTTTCATACAAGACGGGTTTTTTTATCAAGCATGTAGATTTTGATTAGCCTTGAACTGCCAATCATACAAATGGTTAGTACTAAATGTAGAAAATTAGGTCTTAACCAGAATTTGAAAAACCTATTCCTAGCGTACTTATAGTGAAAAAATAAGCTAGTAATTTTAAAATATCAAACTAAATAAATAATAAGAGTTTTCAAAAAAGTTGTAGGCAGCCTTTTTTCACCTTAAATTTACTGGTCTAGCTGGCGTTAGGGCCTGAGAATGGAACATATCAAGCAAATAAAAGTAAGTACAACACAAGAATTTTTGTTACTTTACTAATGAATGTAGGAAGCAACACCAAAAGGTGAGCCAACAATATTGCTTCCTTGGATTCTTAGGTTATAGCACTACTGAGCCACAACATGATTAACTCCCAAAAGTTAAGTATACAAAAACTTTGCACATTTTACAAAAACGTTTTTGATAGGTAACTCTAATAAGACTTGTAATACCGCAGAATTTTTTTTAACCAAACTTCATACAAAAAAAGAGAAGATAAAAATAATTTAACACAATGTAATCCTAATCTCAAGGTAACAACAATCCTAAAAGCCAAACCAAAGACTAACAAAAAACCACTCCTGACCTTTAGTGGGCTCTGCGGCTCCTTGCTATTATGTAGCGCACTGAGTGACTGTGTGCGTCGTTTGCCAGCCGCATCATTGCTAGCAGCGACTGCAGCGGCGACTGTGTCCTCCGACTCAAACACATCATCGTCCTCCTCAGGTACGGGGGGTGGGGCACTGAGTGGGGGCGATAGAGGGGGGGAGGCAGGGGGCGATGCCAGCAGTGGCACTAGCGACTCCCACGAGTATGTCGTCTGACCGACGCAGCCATCGTTGGTGCCTATTAACACGTCAAGTTGTACAATTGGCTTTTGGATACAAAAGTAGACACAACTATATGGAACAGCAGCAACTAGTGATATGGGTCTGACAGTAGGGTATAATTTTATGTCAAAATGATAATAATTTACTTGTTGCAGGGTAAAGTTTTTGCAAATACCAGGTTTATAACAGTGCTTCTATCAAACGATCCTGTATCGTTGGTGCCACTATAGCTGTTTCGTTCTCAACATAAGTACATCACCAGGTCCAACAACACCAAGCTTCCTTATCACTTGAGGTTGAGGTCGTCATAGTAGTTGTAGACAAGATATAATTAATAAAAATACATTCAATAAACAAAAAAAACTTAGTACTACTTAGCACATGATGTGGTCCCTGTAAAAGGAGCATTGTCTCCTCAGCTTCAAGGGATAAGTAAGGTTGACGTTTTTGGATCGGATGTTCTACTTATATAATAATGTTTAAATTAATGATTCAGAGGCTACTCCTAATCATTAAGTATAAGTTGTGTTAAATGTTGATTTTATCAACTTAAGAAACTTGTAAAAATACTTAGCCTATTCGCTAAATAAACTAAGCATTTACGATTTTAATATCTAACCATCTGTAGAAACAATAGAACTACAATTGTCCAAACTACTGTACAATCATCCGGATCACCAATTATCTAAGTAACCTCAAGTGCATTGCAGTTTTTTGCCGTCTGCGTCATACAGCGAGTGAATTTTAGTGTCGTATGAATTGGCCGGAATCTATTCATTTGTCTTGTTCCACTGTCTTCAGCTAAAAAATAACCCTTTTCTTGAAAAATCTAACTATCCAGTTTTTTTATCACCTGGACAGGGTCTGGTCCCTATTGTTCCAGATGGTTATAGGTCTACTGTACATATAATTAACAATCTTCACCTAACAGTGAAATATTGAACAAGATTTGCTGTTAACCTACTTGAAACGTTCTCATTCTTCTCAGGCTGGTCGTCGGCCGGGGTCGCTGGCTTGTTGTGGAAGGGCAGCACAGGCAGCAGTTCCGTAGGGTGAACTATGACTTGTTGGAACATGTTGGTGGCCGGTGGCGGGGGAGGGGAAGGCGGTGAGTCTACAGCAGTTGTGGCAATGTGGAGACCCACTCGTATCTTGCTCCCCTGCAACATACAGCTTGTGGTAAGTATTGAGTTTTCTATCCTTCGAGCGGATGTGTACACTAAAACTAATCAATGAGGTAAAAATATCAATTTACTTACATGTAAAGAAAACCCACTAGATTGTTAAAATAGTACTCAGTAGCCTAGGTAGCTAGAGCTACTCCTATAATAAACAAAAAATTCATATAATATTCAATTTAAAAAAATGTAAACAATGTGGTGCCAAACCACTTGGAAGACAGCTTCAAAATGAACCTTTAGGTTTCAAACATTGGTCGCAGACTTAAACACGGATCATTGACAGTACAACAGGTATTTAACATTTTTATTTGAAGAAAAACTTCAGACCAGCCGACCCCTACTATCTTCCACCTTTCTTTCCCTTACCTGTTGCAGCACGGAGGGAGGAGTGTTCTCCTTGATGTACACTGGCTGGTGCGACACTTCCTTCTTGATAACAGACTCCTGTGTGTGACTGTGTGCTGCGGAGTGATGCTGCGGCTGCGGTTCCTCCACCACCACTGTGGACAACTGCTGACTGCTGCGCTGCAGTCTATCACTGCTGTGTACCTGCAAAGTCACACATACATTGCTTTACACGGTCAGTAAAATTAAATCACAAACTGATTAGGATTATTACTAGGATAGATGGGTTTAAGGATGGATGGGATTGTATTTTAGTTTGGGATGAGATTTTTATTCTTGGACTGAAATGGGATAGGATGATTCTTCCTGAGCAACAAGGTAAACTGTTGTTTGTAAATATCTCCCGCAATCGTAGAGACAATATCATTAGTCATTTGGAATACCAGCAAAATCATACAATTTCCCGCAATCATAGACACATCATTATTGTCTCCCATAAAATTTTTTAAATCCTGGACTAGAATCGTGAAATTGTGGTCTCAAGAAAATCCCAAATTTAATGTACCCTAATACACCTGAAGATGAAAAATATACATTTCCCAAAATTTGGGAACCATAACAGTTACAAACTAGTCTACATTTAATTTGAAATATATGTGGGAAAAGTGGCCTGAGTTATTTCTTAAAAATATAAGAACAAAGATTTGTATTTTGTAGATAGAATAGTCATTACAAATCTGGCTTTTTAATAAAAGTTATGTGTTGCTTAGTCTGTGTTTTGGAGCTGAGCTAAACCCCCGTGTAATGGACCTGCGGGGCAAAAGTGATCTATAACTCTCTCATTCTGTTCTATTCATGTTTGAGTTACATATAGGAAGTAAATAAAAATGTCTAATAGCACTTGAAATATATATTTTAATTTTCACTTGTACTGTTGACTCACAGGACGGTAAATACAATATATTGCTTAAACACCTAATAAACAACTAAAATAATTTTAGAATCCCTCGCAACAACAAATGCAAATCCAAATGGGTACGGTTGTTAGAGTTTATAAAGCATTAAAAATCTGCATAAATCACGAATGGCACATATTATATCACATTGGTAAGTGATGGCCGATTTAGATTGGACACTCCAATCATCTTGACCCAATAGGCCTATATTTCATATATATTTCAAGTGCTATTAGACATATTTTAATTTTTTTTTTTTTAAGAGGTTGGCGGTCTCTTTTAACCTTGCATTTGCCCGTCCACATAGACTAAGCGCCCGTGCGTGGATCGTTTACAGCAAAGCAAGGAGTGAGCCGGTACAGTACACTACAAAGGTGAACTGTGTACTGATAAAATGTTATCGGCAGTGACCAGGAACCGAACCCATGACACCGCTGCCTTGGGCCCGAAGTCCGTGACGCTACCGACTGAGCCACCGACTCACTAACATATAAAACTTTTTTTTATTTACTTCGGTAAATTTAATAACGTGTAAAATGCTGATCAAGAAGTTATACAAGTACAATGGCATATAAAAGTTATAAAAAGACATTTATGGATTTTTTTTAGAGGGTAAAACTGCACATATACAACCGTTATTATCCCCAAATAAAACCAAAGAATGTAATTATCGTACGTATAAAATTCAGAATCAATCATGAAAGACAACAATGAAATTAAATATTAACTGAAACAGTCAAGTTATTGATGACAAAAATGTTTAAATATTCAAGTTCAAAATACTTTGATTTGGGATGAATCTACTGCAATTTTATGCAAGAAATTAATTCAATAAAGCCTGCTCTCAGATGTCTATTTTACAATATGTTACAGACTTTAAACAAGGTCCATTGTTTATCATGCCTTGTTTGTCTCTATGCAATACAGAATAGAATTTTAGGGCATTAGCTCAAGTGCCTAATCGGTTTTTAATGTACGAAAATAGATTATAAGAATTAAGACTTTTTCTAAACCTAAAGGGTCATGTAAATTATTATTTAAGAATTAAAAATATTAACTCTACCTTCAATGTATAATCTCTAAACTTATATGTTAGAAAAAATAAATCAAATTTTTAGAGGCCTTCTCCTACTATATTGTGACTGCAAACAACTAAAACTGTCCCATTGTTGAATTGCTTGATTAACCTTTTTCAGTAAAAATTTAAAATATGTTTGTATCTTAACATTCAACTTGGCTTCTTAACAATATGAAATATAATAAATTCAGATAATAGACGAATAAATGAGCATATTTAATGTATACAATCTAAAATTTGATTTATTTTAATAACCTACATGACAACACTTGTCTAATATAAATATTTTCATCAATCTCTTTTCTAAAATAAATAAAAACTAAATTATTTTTAAACACTAAACAAGACTATCTAGATTAAAATGGTTTTGTGCAAATAAAATATTACAATATCAAAAACTAACCTTAAACTCTTTTACATGCCCACCTGACATTCTTAATAGTCTGTTAAAATCCATCATAAATCACAAACTGTAGCCATAGATAAAAATAATCTATTTATTGTCAAGGTATTCAGAAAACTTAAAAACTCTTATAACTTTCATGGCAATATTTAAATATATGAGCAGCTCCATCAAGCAAGATTCGCTTGCAATCCACAACATATCAACAGCAGGTTGTGTCTGTTTGCCTGACTAAACCTGTCCTGGATAGTAGCAAAGCTGATAACAGCTGATTGCTGTATTAACCTTGAAATCACTCAGGCATAGAGTAGTTTGAAATTTGAAAAATATCTACATAAATTATTTAGCTAAAGAAACAAAAATTGTTGAAAAACATTTTGTTAATTTTAATGTATCTGATATAACTCTCAAAGAAAAATTACTGTACTGTAAATTATATTGATTTGCTAAACAAGGGAATACAATATTTGGTAATTTTCATTCATATATTTATTTAATACCTAGATAACTTTTATTAGGTTGTAAAAAAAATATTTAATATCAATAACTTTATCACAATTATTTACCAAAAGCATTGTGTAAAAGAAAATGTTTCAGATAAATCACATTAGTGTCTTAAGCATTTGCTGACAATAAACAACATAAAAATTCTTTCTTACAACATTCCCAACCATCAGCACCAAAAATATATATGAAAGAATTAATATGAAGCAGTGGTTAAAAAAATAAACAATATAAAAAAATTAACAATTAAAAAATTAACATAAAAATACATGTTCTAGCAGTCATAATGAATTTACTTGTTCAATCATCCTATATAGATGATTTTTCGACCACTGAAAGACCTCTAGTGAAAGTACGAGTATGGAATGTGATGGATATGATGAACCTGAAGAACAGTCATTACGTAGTTGGAAATCTTGGTTGGGAATGGGAATGAGGACATAGGAGCGGAACTGAGTTTGGTTTAGATTTACTTCAGAATGATAGATACTTTTTTTGGATAAAAATAAGGGAAGGAATAGCCTAAGGTTGACAGATATGTCTGCCACCCAAAGGAATATTCAAGATTATTGGCAGTGTTCATATTTTGTGATTATCGCGAAGAGCAAAATATGGCAAAATATGAACGGCAGACGGATACATCCGTCCGACTTATGTTTTTTGTGGGCCTAAGACAGATACATCTGTCAGATCAAGATTAATTTTTTTCATAACTTTTTAACAAAAATTAGTTCAGTGCTAAGGAATTTTTTTTTATGATCAATGAATTATTTCAAGCAAAATAAATACAAAACATAACCACTTTAGTTTGGAATAATTAAGCTCCAGCCATTCATTTAATTTAGCCCTGGGACGGTTAATAAATTAATTAAATTGAATTTAATTGAATGCTGGTCGAACATTTCTCATAACAAAATACAGTATAGTACACTCTCGATTATACAAGCCCTGGTTAACCGAGGTCGTTGTAGGCCTATATATGTATATTTTTTTATTTCCAGTCGGAAAACAATAATTACATTTTTGGGAATGTTTCTGTTGAAAGTAAAGTAATAATGGCAACTAATTTGTGATTTATTAATATTTTTTTTTTTTTTTAGAATAGAATAGAAAAATTCTTTATTGCTCAATGTACATATATACAGTTATTGTAAACAATCACAATAGTATTGAACACAATTCTGGTTATAGTATTTATACAAATATGCCTATGAACTTACACAAAATTTTTTAAACCTTAACTGTTTAAAACATGGGATATAATAATAAAGAGAATCATAGAGCAATAAAGCCCTGAGGTTATAAACCTGTGCGGGATCTATATTTGAATCTTACACAAACTCAGTAGTAGGGTAGAGAGTGCCTGGCCGGATCAGTACCACAGTTATACTACACAATATTTAAAAATAACATAAACGTGGCTTCTTCACATGAAACAATATTAACTTCCTTAATTCTTACGTCTTATTAAAGTATTAGGCATTGTTTAACAAACTATAACTAAGACTATAACTATCAAAGGAAAACACTATGTCTTTATATTAGAGTAGTAAAAAATTGATTAATGTCATTATGGTTAAGTAAGTAGTTACGTATAATTTTATTGAATTGGTTCTTGTTTTTACACTCTTTAATATAGTTTGGAAGTAGATTATAAAACGTTGGTGCTAAGTACAAAAAATATTTTTTGAAATGGGATAAATTGGGTCGCGGAACATACATTTTACCCACGTTCCTTAATGTACATAGCAGCAGCCAATCAGAGACGAGTATTTGATAAACCACGCCCTTAAAATGTATTGCATGTACTAAGGTGTATTTCCACTTTCCATAGAGTACATGTATAAATAATATCCCTAATATTGGGATATTATTTATACATTAAATAAGGATTATAGGTAGGATTTTATACATTACATTATTTTATTTATTACAAATGATCTGTAATAACCTGTTAGCCAATTCCACCATGAGACACGGATTAGCGAGGTCCAGAGTTAGGTATTCAACTCCATCGATATACATATTGCCGATCTTTGCAAAAGAAAGATTTGTAGGGAAACTAAATACAAAATAATAGTAACACCATAATTTAGTGAGTTGCCGGAATTTTATCTTCCTGGAATTTTACCCTCTGGGCAAAGCTGACCTCACTGTGACGTAGTAACCTGAGCGCTCAAAAGTTTATTCGCGAGCGGAATTTTACCCCCGCGGATTTGGTAGTCTAATGGAAATAGACAGAGCGAGATTAATTAAGTTTGAT